GCACCTCATGTGTATCACACATGAGGTGCAGAACTTGCATGTCAAGCCGACTCTGTACTTATTCTTGAACAGTTTGGAAATCAGACTCAAAATAAATCTTCAATCCAGATGGGTTTTGCTTTTGAGAACATTAGCAAAGTGTCTGTTTTATGTTCCAAAGCACATTAACATTATGACAGTGCTTGCAAAACACTGTACTGGCGTTCCTCATTCATTTTCTTCATGGTTAATTCAGCCTTAATGTATAAACTGTATTCAGACTTTGTAGATAATTTATTTTAAATATATATATATTAAATAGTATTTAATAATAATAATAAAAAATATATATATATATATACGTATATATATATATATATATATATATATATATATATATATATTGTGCACTAACACAATAGAGTGAAGATCACTGTGTTTGTTTTACACGTGTCCAACTCATGATATAATGTTTCAGCGTCTCGTTTCACAGTAAATGAACCAAGATGCTGAAACACTGTATCTCTGAAACCCGCAGTATATACAGGTCCTTCTCAAAAAAATTAGCATATTGTGATAAAGTTCATTATTTTCCATAATGTAATGATAAAAATTAAACTTTCATATATTTTAGATTCATTGCACACCAACTGAAATATTTCAGGTCTTTTATTGTTTTAATACTGATGATTTTGGCATACAGCTCATGAAAACCCAAAATTCCTGTCTCAAAAAATTGGCATATTTCTTCCGACCAATAAAAGAAGTGTTTTTAATAAAAAAAAAAAAAAGTCAACCTTCAAATAATTATGTTCAGTTATGCACTCAATAGTCAATACTTGGTCGGGAATGCCTTTGCAGAAATGACTGCTTCAATGCGGCGTGGCATGGAGGCAATCAGCCTGTGGCACTGCTGAGGTGTTATGGAGGCCCAGGATGCTTCGATAGCGGCCTTAAGCTCATCCAGAGTGTTGGGTCTTGCGTCTCTCAACTTTCTCTTCACAATATCCCACAGATTCTCTATGGGGTTCAGGTCAGGAGAGTTGGCAGGCCAATTGAGCACAGTAATACCATGGTCAGTAAACCATTTACCAGTGGTTTTGGCACTGTGAGCAGGTGCCAGGTTGTGCTGAAAAATGAAATCTTCATCTCCATAAAGCTTTTCAGCAGATGGAAGCATGAAATGCTCCAAAATCTCCTGATAGCTAGCTGCATTGACCCTGCCCTTGATAAAACACAGTGCACCAACACCAGCAGCTGACATGGCACCCCAGACCATCACTGACTGTGGGTACTTGACACTGGACTTCAGGCATTTTGGCATTTCCTTCTCCCCAGTCTTCCTCCAGACTCTGGCACCTTGATTTCCGAATGACATGCAAAACTGAGCAACAGTCCAGTGCTGCTTATCTGTAGCCCAGGTCAGGCGCTTCTGCCGCTGTTTCTGGTTCAAAAGTGGCTTGACCTGGGGAATGCGGCACCTGTAGCCCATTACCTGCACACGCCTGTGCACGGTGGCTCTGGATGTTTCTACTCCAGACTCAGTCCACTGCTTCCGCAGGTCCCCCAAGGTCTGGAATCGGTCCTTCTCCACAATCTTCCTCAGGGTCCGGTCACCTCTTCTCGTTGTGCAGCGTTTTTTGCCACACTTTTTCCTTCCCACAGACTTCCCACTGAGGTGCCTTGATACAGCACTCTGGGAACAGCCTATTTGTTCAGAAATTTCTTTCTGTCTTACCCTCTTGCTTGAGGGTGTCAATGATGGCCTTCTGGACAGCAGTCAGGTCGGCAGTCTTACCCATGATTGCAGTTTTGAGTAATGAAACAGGCTGGGAGTTTTTAAAAGCCTCAGGAATCTTTTGCAGGTGTTTAGAGTTAATTAGTTGATTCAGATGATTAGGTTAATAGCTCGTTTAGAGACCCTTTTCATGATATGCTAATTTTTTGAGACAGGAATTTTGGGTTTTCATGAGCTGTATGCCAAAATCATCAGTATTAAAACAATAAAAGACCTGAAATATTTCAGTTGGTGTGCAATGAATCTAAAATATATGAAAGTTTAATTTTTATCATTACATTATGGAAAATAATGAACTTTATCACAATATGCAAATTTTTTGAGAAGGACCTTTATATATATAATATATATATATATATATATATATATATATATATATATATATATATATATATATATATTCGAATAAATTGCAGCCTTCGTGATTTGACTATAACATTAAGCAATATAACAATATTGACTTAATTTGGATATATTGTTCCGCTCTAGATGTAATTTCCCTGGATGAGCTGGCATTCCTGACTTCCTTTTGCTGCCTTGCAAACACTGTTGTTTCCTTCAGGAAATGCACATCTAGTGTTAACCACCTATTATGCTTTTTTACATTTTCAACTTTCTTTAGTGTGTAATGTTGCTGTTTGAGCATGAAACAAGTCTGCAAAGTTACAAAGCACAAAGTCACTCCAAAGGGAGTTATTCACTATTTCAGTGTCATTGTTTCTGAACTCCCTGAAATGCCTCAATTGTACTCTTGAGTTTTCTTTCTGGAACGTACAAGTCACAATATTCCTGTAATGAGTCAACAGAGTTGGGATCCATGTGTAAACAAAATGGCGAGGTCTGGTTGAGTTGCGTAAGTAATGTGTTGTCACGATGATCAAGAGACGCTGTTTTTTCCACTTCTGCATAAGTCGTGCTTGCAAAGATGGTTCTGGTTGATTAGCTTGTTCTTCTTGACTGATCCAATATGGCAAAACTGACTCCATAGTTAGCGTAGTTACAGTAGTGTTTACAGCGCCTCGGGAAGCCTCCGGAGCTGATACATGCCCCGCTTATGGTCAGGAGCGTTACATTTCTGACACAGGCTCTAAGCCAGGAGTCGGAAAGTAAGTTTGGCATCGGGCCAAAAAAAAATTCGCCACTAGTTGGCGGACCAGAACATAGTCAAAGGATACTTTCAGAAATTAAATGGCCACCAAAGCGCTTTACAATTTGCCTCACATTCACCCATTCATACACCGACAGCGGTGTCAGCCATGCAAGGCGCCATCCAGCTCGTCGGGAGCAGCTGGGGTTAGGTGTCTTGCTCATGGACACTTCGACACTTGGTCAGGTGGAACCGGGGATTGAACCACCAGCCTTCCGGTTTGTAGACAACCTACATGAACCACTGAGCCACTGCCGCCCTTTGAAGTATCTTAATTTACCAACTTGCAACACAGACCGCCTTGCTAAAACACACATATGTGGGAGATGCGGAACTCCAAAATAAAAGAGGACTTGAATAAGCCCATTAATGGCATGCTTGAGTCATGCTCTTAACGAACTATGTTTATTTCCTCTTTCCATATTGTGAATAATAAATGTGTATCATTTTAATTTGCTTGTTGCATAATGGAGCCTAACTTATTGTAATAATTATTTGACGTAGCCTACTTTTACACTACGAATTATTCCTTGGCATCCTCAACTGCATTTTTTTTATTGTTTGCATGCTGGAGGTACGCTATTACGTCGTGTGCAGAGTGATGTTAACATCTAAGCTAGCTGGTGAGAAAAATTGACATTATCAAAGAGTCTAAAGAGGAAAGTTGACAGCGAAAATAGGGCATAGCCTACAAAGAAGAATGGAAAGACAACTATGCGTTCATCCTACCTAGTTTTGTGAATGCAAAGCTGGTGAGTCTAATCTGCAACAAAGCGATCCACAGACTCTTTTGAATGTCTTTCAGAACTTTTCAAATTAAAAGCTCTCAATTCATCTCAAAATAAAACATTGCTGCAAAAACGTTCTCGTACTTTTATTTTGAAGGCAAAATGTGAGTATAATGGCATAATGTTTTGAAGACGAAGTGATTGTGAGTAATTGCTGCTGTCATGACAGATCTATTTCAGAACCAGCCGCTATCGAAATAATCTGTCTGCAAGCATGGGCCAGGTATTATTGCTGGCTGGCCAGTTTTAGCCCGCGGGCCGCCTGTTGCCGACCCCTGCTGTAAGCGGTTGAGCAATCGCAACAGAGTGGGCCAGCTGACCAATCAGAGCAGACGGCTCTTTTTGGAAGGCAGGTTTTAAAGAAACCAAAACTAAAACAGTGTTCAGATAGAGGTTGAAAACAGGTGCTGCAAAAATAAAATAATAATGAGGGTTTTTTTTTTAATACATGATGTAAACATATTCTAGTACAGTGTTTCTCAACCCTGCCCCTGAAGGACCCCCAACACTACACGTTTTCTTTGTTTACCTAATCAAACACACCTGATTCAACTCACCAGATCATTATCACATGTGATAATGGGGCAGGGTTGAGAAACACTGTTCTAGTAGACCCTAAATAAAATTATGAACTTGTAAATGAGCATACAGTAATAGAACCCCTTTAATGTTGTGGATTAGCCTGGCATGCCAGACCTACATCAAGATGTTAGGTCTGGGAACTCTCCATTGACATGCCTCAATCCGAGGGGCGGGATAAACGGTTACCTTTTAAAAATCCCTCTGCACGCAATAGGATAGCGCTACAACCAACCAGAGCAACGAACGGTTGTGGATGATTGAGTCCCATGCGTTTTTCCACCAGCGGAGCTAATTGATATATTAAACTTTTGCCGTATCAGGACGGCAAAAATCCGAACACATCTTCCTTTTTTAAGAATGACTTGAGTGACGTTCTCTTAACTCCAAGTCCTCCAGAGTCGCGGCCAAAGCCGATTCGAAAGACCGCTGCATCTTCATTGTTTTCAAGTAGCAGGAAAATCACCTATGGAAATCACGCGGAACGTCATGAACTGTGCCGTCATTGTGTTAAGCCCGCCCGCCGACTCTATACACGATGTGATTGGCCTGACCAGTTTTTGGTTTTTACAGCTCAAAAGCCTATGGAGAGTTGCTAGACCACACTGGCTGCGAAATAATTTTCGCTGCCGCTAGGGTGCGTCTAGATTTCTAGGCTAGTTGTGGATATGAAGACTGCGAGACATTGACCAGTGTGTTTTCCCTCTAGTCAGGTTTGATTAGAACTCAGGATCTGGATTACTTCCTGAAGCCACTGCATCCACATCAGGCACTTCTGGAGAACTTCTCAGCACCATCTGACCACCATCCCCACATCCTCTACAAGAGATCCATGCCACCACAGACAAGCAAAGGCAGAACCAGGAGGTCTTCTGAGCTATCGACGGTCATCAGAAAAGATTCAGCAGTCCCATATCTGTGGAGAACCTTCAGACAAGATGAGAGAACCACACACCCACAGACGGATCCAGAGGAGAACCAGCGTACCCCACACAGTCATGACAACTTCAACTACACTACTCAGCAGAGACAGCACTTCTGTGGACGACGGAAGAAATGTATGTAAGGACATTCTCTCTCCAACTGCACCTTCAAACAGGGTTGCTTTTGCATTACATGGTTCAGGTCTAGTAGCTGGACTGTTAAAGACATTCATTAGGAGGGGAGGGGTTGTATTTTAGACAACAGTCGTATGTAAAAAGGTCACAGCGGTTCAAGGGTCAGCTTGAACATGTTTTCATGACATCATCACACCTGTATTGTGTTTGGTCAGGGATGAATTATCTTCACCTACTCTAAACAAACACCACATCCTCACACCGCATTTGAACCCTGAGTAATATTTTACAAACCGAGTAACCAAATCTTATGTGGGATGTGAGGTAACAGCTAATACATTTTGACACACATGGCGTGCATTAATGTCTCGTATGGGCCTGAGCTTTCCAGACACAGATTCAGCTTTTTGCTGAACTAGTAATGCATTTTCTTTGGGGAACCAGCATTGACTGTGTGACCTAGTGTTGATATTGTCTTGGTCCTGTGTTTCAGATATGCCTAAACCTCCTGAGGAAGATATCTATATTTTCCCGGATGAATATAAGTTCATGCCCAGAGGGAAGCGAGCCATTACGTTTAAACATCCACACCAGAGGCTGAATGTGGAGACGCTGGTGGTGGTCGACCGCACCATGATGGACAATCATGGCCATGAGAATATAACCACATATGTCCTTACTGTTCTTAACATGGTAAGATGCATGTAATGAATCCAGGCATCTATCTGTCCATCCATCAATTTATCCATCCATGCATGCATCCATCTATCCATCTGTCTGTCTATCCATGCATCTCTATCCATCCATTAATTACATGCACCAATCTATCCATCCATTCATCCATACATCCATCCATTAATCCATCCATCCATGCATCTGTCCATCCATCCATGCACCCATCCCTCCATGCACCCATCCATCCACCCATTTATTGCACGCATACATGCATCCATCCATCATCCATGTATCCATCAATCCGTCCCTCCATGCATTCATCCCTCCACGCATCCATCCCATGCATACATTCTTCCCTCCTTCTATGCATCCATTTACCCATACATGTGTCCACCCACTCACCCATCCATCCATCCATCCATCTATCCATTACATCGATCCATGTATCAATGCATCCATCCATCCATGGATCCATGGCATCCATCCATGGCATCTATCTGTCCATCCATCAATTTATCCATCCATGCATGCATCCATCTATCCATCTGTCTGTCTATCCATGCATCTCTCCATCCATTAATTACATGCACCAATCCATCCATCCATTCATCCATACATCCATCCATTAATCCATCCATCCATGCATCTGTCCATCCATCCATGCACCCATCCCTCCATGCACCCATCCATCCACCCATTTATTGCACGCATACATGCATCCATCCATCATCCATGTATCCATCAATCCGTCCCTCCATGCATTCATCCCTCCACGCATCCATCCCATGCATACATACTTCCCTCCTTCCATGCATCCATTTACCCATACATGTGTCCACCCACCCACTCACCCATCCATCCATCCATCCATCCATCCATCCATCCATCCATCCATCCATCCATCCATCTATCCATTACATCGATCCATGTATCAATGCATCCATCCATCCAGTTCCCAGTGTTCTGTGCTCATGTATGTTTTGATTGCATGGAAAAGTATGTCTAGTTTAGGTCAAAGCATTTGATTGACCAAACAGACTAGTTCTTTGTGAGTCTCTTTGGGATGAGCACACTGAAAAAGCTTAAGCACACATGAAAACATTATTGTAGAGTACATTATTGTAGAGTTTTTGAAGGTGTGTTAAAAGTGTTTTACAAAGGATCAGTGAAATACTGACACATGAAACCAATCTGGACGCCTCTTGTGTTGGTGTCAACGAAAAGAAAGACAAAACAGCAGAACTGAAAAGGCCTTGTATTGGGAACTAAGTACTTGTATTTATGTTCCCTGAGCACTTTAAACCATCTCAGGGACTTTGTCTTCAGTTCTGTTTCAAAGACCAGTGAAATGTGGGATTAGGGATTCCCTTAAGTACATGTGGTATGCCTCCAGAGAGAAGACACTTTGAAGAACAGCCACACACTTCTCATTTTTCCAAACAGAAGCTTCTTATTGCTCTATTCAAGAAAGTCAAACTGAGTTTAGATGCCTCCACGTTTATGCACAATCCTGTAGCCTAATGCTGATTTTTCTGCATTGTTTCTCATCTCCAAAAAGGTCTCAACGCTTTTCAAAGATGGCACGATCGGAGGTGACATCAATGTTGTAATTGTTGGGCTAATACTGCTGGATGAAGACCAGGTGAGTTTAAGGTGCTATGAATTTTATTGCAGTGGAGATTTTTGAAAACAGAGTAAAAGATCTTGGCTCTATTGCATTGATAATGTGTGTTCAAATGAACATCTTACACCAACACCAAGTGCATATTTGTAAAAAATGAATGAGAATTAAAGCCCTCTGGAGGCGATTGACGTCATGGACCATGAGAGGTTTAGATAACACAGAGCTTTGAAGCCGAATGAAACATTGCTTCAAAAGGTGGATTTTATTGTCCTTGAGAGGCTTGTCTCTTTCACTCTTTTAGAGACGCTCCATCTGAACAGGTCTCGTTTTTATGATGACAGTTTAATTGGATACACAGCATTCCGTTGGATTCCAGCCAGACGAGGGACATGTCTGTGGGAAAGCGGGCCAGCATACGGCTGAAGGGCTCTGTTACTGATACACCTGTGCTAATGTTAATGAAGTTCACGTTAGCCACCAGTCGAGGAATGCAGAAAATTACCCTCATCCCCCTTTTGATTGGAGTAATTAGCAACAGTCACTCAGGATCAGTGATGAGGGGCTAATTACCTACAGTATAGACTCATTTACTGAGGTGGGGTCAGCAGAGGCAGCCGGTAATTGTTCTGCCCAGAGCTTGATAAGCAGTTTGAGTTAGGCTACATATACACCAATCTGGGTACATTTGAAAACACATCTTTTTCTCTTTATTTTGGCCTTCTGTCCACATTGAGAAATTGTTTTTGTCCTTTGAAAACACTCAAGTTTAGCAGTCGGATCCCCTCCCAAGGATTTTTAACTGCTTTAAAATGGCTTCGTTTTTTTGGGGGTCACTTTTAGTCAGAAAACGTTCAGTAAATGACACATTCATAAAGCAAGACTTTAAAGGGTTAGTTCACCCAAAAATGAAAATTATGTCAGTAATTACTCACCCTCATGTTGTTCCAACCCCGTAAGACTTTCGTTCATCTTTCTCACTCCTCCATAGGCTTCTATTGTAATTGAAACTTGCCGGCCCAGAAAGTTATCAAAGACATTGTTAAAATAGTCCAAGTGACTACAGTGGCTCAACCATAAGTTTATCAAATGATGAGAATAAAAATTAAAATAACGACTTAATTCAACTATTCATTTTCTTCTGTGTGGGCCTCTGACGTTAGTTCACCTAGTGTAACAGCGCAGCGCTTCTGGGTTGTACGTCAGAACGTAGGCTCACTGTTGGCCAGCATCACACACATGACCAGCGTCGGCCAACAGTGAGCCTACGTTCTGATGGACAACCCAGATGTGCTGCGCTGTTACACTAGGTGAACTCACGTCAGAGGCCTATACGTAGTTGGTACATCAGCGGTAGAAGTAAAAACTAATATATCACGTAATTTACGTCTTTTCGATGATGGTTGACATACATAGGTAGGCTAGCCTCCTCTTTTACTCGCAATGTCCTGAGACAAAAGATGAGGGCAATTGTGTTTTAGACCATACGTAGAATAGCGATTGAGTGTGACCTAGACACAGTAAGTGGTGAGTTATGTTGCTAATAAAATTATCATGTCAGAAGAATAGCATGACAACTTTATGTCAGTAGATGTTATATTTTTATGTTAAATCCACTATTGATTTATATAGAATTGTTCTAGTCTACACAGTATTTAATGCAATTACATCTACTCTTAACTCTTAACTCTTTACTTCCTCAGGATGGACTGGTGATTAACCATCATGCTGACCACACTCTTAACAGTTTCTGCCAGTGGCAGTCTGGTTTGGCTGGGCAAGGAGGTCGCCGTCATGATCATGCCATCCTGCTAACCGGTCTGGATATCTGCTCCTGGAAGAATGAACCATGTGACACTCTGGGTAAGGACGACGTCTGCTGATTTGACATGTGCTTGAAGGACGTCTTTGACAGCCATGTCTTTTGCTGCATCTGCATGTTTTTAAGATGCCATGTTAAAAGAAATTTTAGACGCGTGTCTTGAGATACATCCTCCTTCACCTTTGTAAAACTTGTCAGTTCCTTCTTATAGAATTAGTTCATTTCAAAAGGATTTTTTTTATCATTTACTCGCCCTCAAGTTGTTTCAAACCTATATGAATTTTCTTTTTTCTGCTGAACACAAAAAAGAAATTTTGAAGAATGTCGGTAACCAAACAGTTGATGTACCCCATTGACTTCCATAGTATTTTTTTTTTCCTACTATGGAAGTCAATGGGGTTCATCAACTGTCTGGTTACCGACATTCTTCAAAATATCTTCCTTTGTCTTCAGCAGAAGAAAGAAATTTATAAAGGTTTGAAACAACTTGAGGGTGAGTAAATGATTGCAGAATTTTCATTTTGAAGTGAACTATTCCTTTAAGGGATTGTAAACAGATAGGACAAAACATATTATGTTAAAACACAGTGTTCCTGTAGTTCAAATGGTAGTGCATGGTACTGGCAACGCCAGGGTCATGGGTTCGATTCCCAGGGAACGCAGGGTGATATGTATACCTTGAATGCACTGTAAGTTGCTGCCAAATTTTTAAATATAAATGAGAAATGTAAGTCTGAAAGTCAGCGTAAATGCAACCCAAATAGACTTGGACTGTTTATGATACCATTACTAATAATCAAACCGCATTAATGTTGAGAAATAAAGAAACGCTGCTCACTGCTCATGTCTGACAAACTTTAGTGGCTTTAAACCCCTCTGCAGTTACACGTTGAAAGCACTCTTTGGTTTATTCTTGAAATGTTTCTTAAGATTAGCTGAAAAATAGTTGATCACATAGAAAACACATCAATGTTTTAATTTATTCTTATTTTTTAATTAGTTTAAACAGTACTACGTTATAATGTTTTTTTTTTTTTTTTTTTTAAATATATAATTAATTATTTAAAGTATTTAAACAGACATCTTGGACATTGAGAACCAAAATGTGTAAAATGCTAAATGCATTAAAAAAAAATACATATTGAATTAGGAGCTAAATATTGAACTGGGAGGTCAATAGCAACTCCCAGCCTTAACCAATAGTAATCTTGTAGGTAACTGGCCTGTTATTGGACACTTTTGCCCAGTATTTAAATTAATAATGGCTGATAGTGAATATCACATTTATACATTAGGCATAAGTTACTGAAATACTTCACTTATGCTTTATTTACACCACTATGTGACAGTACAAGACAAAGACTTTTAAGCTGATGCCAGGTTTTATTGTAATCCTGTAAAAAAGAGTAAGAAAACATAGGTGTGGTCTGACATTTAAGATTAATGACCTAAAACATACTGTTTGTCTGGTGATGACTGCGCTTAGTCATCACTTAAGCTACTGCTAAATTGCCAAATTATTAGCGGTACAGTAACAACCTTTTTCTCTAATAACCTGTTTCCTATGAGAGCTCGAGCTGTGTTCTCCACCCTGTGCCACATAAAAGAATCTCTCCCTGCTAACCCCTAACCCCATTAGCAAAGCTAGCCATGCCCCTCCAATGCAAGGCCGCAGTTCAAAGGGTGCTGAGAACACAACATTTGTGGAGTGTCAATGATTAACACTTGAGCGCAGACTGCGGCTCGCACAGCTCACGCTTGGAGGTGAAGGGGTCAGGGGGTCATGGGAGATTTCACGTCCCTCACAGGTCATGGACTGGATGATTAAAGAGCTACGCCGAACCTTTGATACAACCGTACACTCTCTACCGTAACGCTTGTCTGAGAAAACATGCACTGAATGCAACATGAATTACCCTCATGCATCATTTCTGCATATGACAGTTTCTTGAGAGCAAGGAATATTGAAAGATATAACATTACATATGATGAAAATTTTGTTTATTTTATTCAGACCTTTTACAGTAAAATAATTAAATAAATCAACTGTAATGGGCCCTGAAAGACATTTTTAGTAAAGTATGTGATTTATTTATTTTTTCGTCCCAAATACGATTTTCAATAAGGCTGGAAGACAAATAAATCACAACATCTTCTGGTACAACACATTTGTGCAATACATGCAAGTATTTAATCACTTGGTGCGAATGTGTCAAAAAACAGCACATATTTTAAGCGATTAAATCAAAGGAAAATAAATCAGACTCCTTTGGTCCTTTTGGGGTTTGACTTTGTTCCAACGTACACTGGGCTTCATCTCCATAGGTTTTGTATTAAAGAGTTAGAAAGTCAGAATTTGTCATAAAATACAGTTCTCTTAGATCTCAGACCAGTATTGCAACACGTATAGAATTGTTCAAAGCATTTTGTGAGGTTGCCTTTCTATTATTTTTTATGCCTTCTACAGTTAATATACTACTCCTAGTTGTAGAAGGTATAACATACAGTATAATGTGTTTCAGATTCATACTGGTTGAAGTAACTCATATATCTGTTCAGATTTCCTGCGACTGACTCAAAACAACTGGATTTGATCTTTATCTTGAACTGGCAGTTGTGAAACAAATACTCTCAAAATCTTGATCTGATTACATCAGTCCATCACTTGCCACCTCACACTTATGTTTATTGCCGTCTCACTTAATTAGATTATGGACACTACTGTTCAAAGGTTTGCAGTTAGCAATCTTATGAAAGTCACATTAAAGACATTATAAAGATTTCTTTTTCAGATAAGTGCTGTTCTTTTAAAATTAATATTCATCAAAGAACGTTGATAATAATAATAAGCAAATCAGCATATTAGAGTGATTTCTGAAGGATCATGTGACACTGAAAACTGGACTAAAACTTCAACTATTTGGCGCTTTAATACCTCATTATTAGAAGACCCCAACTTTACAACCCACATAAGGCGAGAGTGGGCACTCTTTCTGGAGACAAACGACTCTGCAGACACCGCACCTACACTGCTATGGGAAACTGGGAAGGCCGTAATTAGAGGAAAAATTATATCATACTCTTCATATATGAAAAAACAGCAACAACAATTGGAAAATATGTTAGAACAAAAAATTAAATTACTAACACATGAAATATCTTGCCATCCCAGTGAACCAAAACAGAAGGAATTAAAGGAACTCAAAACACAAATTGATGCCATTATACAGAAAAAAACACAATTTCAAATTCAACAATTGAAATATAATGGTTTTCAATATAGTAATAAAACAAACAGTAAGTATTTAGCAAATTTACTTCAACATATGAAAGAGAAATCAATCATCCCAGCCATTTTAGATGTTACAGGAACCATCAATCATAACCCACAGGATATAAATAACACATTTCGGAATTTTTACAAAAACCTCTATTCCCCCACTCACCAACCTACTCAATCAGAAATTGACACCTTCTTGAACAGTATAACATTGCCAAAATTAACTGTAGAAGAAATCAATAGTTTAGATGCACCCCTTAGCCTTAATGAACTTACTACAGCACTCAATAAAATCCCTAGCAATAAATCTCCCGGGCCAGATGGATTTCCAGCTGAATTCTACCGACACTTCTGGGACATATTATCACCATTATTCAACAGAGTAATTATAGAAATTAAAACGTTATCTACCATACCAACACACATGAATACAGCAGCCATTACATTACTGCTAAAACCCCAAAAAGATCCAACCTACCCTTCTAGCTACCGACCTCTTTCACTATTGAATACTGACTTGAAAATTATTACCAAAGCACTAGCAACCAGAATAGAAACAGTCACCTCCACACTCATCCATCCAGATCAGACAGGCTTCATAAAAAATAGACATGCTACAGATAATGTCCGCAGATTATTTAACTTATTCAATATATCACAAGAAAAACAACAGAAAACCATTATCATTTCACTTGATGCAGAGAAAGCATTTGATAAGGTAAACTGGTCTTTTTTATTTAATACACTTCACAAGTTTGGTTTTGGAGAGTCGTTCATTCACTGGATTAAAATACTGTACACATCACCCAGGGCCACCATCACCACTAATGGAATTACATCGCAGAGTTTCACATTGCATCAGGGCACCAGACAGGGATGCCCACTTTCGCCTTCCCTGTTTGCCATTTTCATCGAACCGCTCGCAGCAGCTATACGACAAAACATCAAAATCAAAGGAATACAGGTAGACAATGTACAACACAAAATCAGTTTATACGCAGATGATCTCTTACTTTATTTACAGCACCCACGAGTATCACTTCAAGAAACGTTCAATATTATCAGCAGATTTTCCCTAGTTTCACATTACACTATTAACTGGAATAAATCGATTTTACTACCACTTTCAGATGATATATGGGATTCTGGTGCTCAGGACACATCATTCCACCTTCACACAGGCAACATCAAGTACCTAGGGATTCAGATTTCCCCCAGGCTGTCAGAGCTTTTCACCCTCAATTACACTCCACTCCTAAAGAAAATTGAAGACGAATACAAACGCTGGTCTAAACACCCACTCACACTCATCGAAAGAATAGCGGCTGTCAAAATGAAAACCCTACCCCAAATTAACTATCTTTTTTCAATGATTCCCATCACTCCTACAGATAAATGGTTCAAAACTCTTAATTCATTAACAACACAATTTTATTGGAAAAATAAAAAACCCAGAATATCACTCTCAACATTACAAAATAAAAAATCACATGGGGGGCTTGAGGCACCAAACTTCCATTACTACTTCTTGGCAAATCAATTACAATACCTAGTTAAATGGATCAATTTAGATAAGCATAAACACCCGTGGCTGGAACTGGAACAGAGTCAATGCACAGATATCCCAGTTGCAGATCTCCCCTTTCTCTCACAATCAATCAAGAAATCCAACATCTGCCAACCCATAACCATCTATTCGACTCTGACAGCCTGGTGGAAAACAAATCTAATCACAAAATCATCACAAGAATTAAATAAGCT